GACAGGTCTAGCCTGGCAGTGGCGGCTATCTGGGGAGTGAACCAGCAGAGGGGAAGAGCTCCAACTCTGCCTTTCAAATAAATCAAGGCAGGCTGGAGAGAAGCTGAGAGGGCTGGGAGGGGCTTGCAGGCTGGAGCTCCAGGCAGGGCCTAGGGAGCCCACTAGCTGAGGCTGGCGGGGGCGGAGCAGCCGGAGCCGGTCCTCCGGCACCACCGAGCGGTCATCACGGTGAACCACAGCATCCACCAAGGCCTGATTCCTCCCTGGAGGCCGCGGGCTGCCCTGGCCCAGGGTTCCCCACCTGCTCTGTCCTTAGGTGCTTCTCTGAGAGCTTGCACGAGCTGGTGCACTCCCCAGACGCCTGCAGCTGCAGAGCTGGGCCAGGCCACGGCCAGGAGCGGGAGCTGCATCTGCGTCTCCCAGGTGGGTGCAGGGGCCCGAGCATCCAGAGAGGGGCGGGCACTGGGCCTGGTGGTGAAGACCCCTGTGAGTGTCAGGGTTCCAGACCCAGCACCCGCTCCTGGCCTTGAAGGCCGTGGTGTTGGGTCGGAGGTTTCACTCCCTGGTACCCACGGGGCACACAAGGACTGAGTTCCCTTCCGGCAGTTTCAGCGCAGCCCAGCCCTGGCACAGAAAATAGATTAATCCAGATCTTCATTAGTTTCATCTGGTTACATCTTAGGGCATGGGCGGTAGCAGAAGAGGTTTTGGGGGGTGGCCAGGGCCGACCCAGCTGGAGGGAGAGCAGGATGCGAACTTGGGGAGCTGGGGTTCAGCCCTCTCCACTGGGCAAGTGTTCCAGGCGTGGGGCAATGCAGCCACCTGGTGACGAAACCGGAACATTGCCTGTAGCTGGACGGCAGTGGGTGGGAAATTGCATTTAAACGCGTTCACTGCATCAAAGAAAAAGAAGGAAAGAGACAAGAGAGGGAGCGAGGAAAGAAAACTCTGGTCATTTTCATTTTTTAAAAGATTTTTATTGGAAAGGCAAATTTACAGAGAGAAGGAGACAGAGAAGAAGATCTTCTGTCTGCTGATTCACTCTCCAAGTGGCCACAGCGGCCAGAGCTGTGCCGATCCGAAGCCAGGAGCCAGGAGCTTCCTCTGAGTCTCCCACACGGGTGCAGAGTCCCAAGGCTTTGGCCATCCTCGACTGCTTTCCCAGGCCACAAGCAGGGAGCTGGATGGGAAGTGGAGCAGCCGGGATTAGAACCGGTGCCCATATAGGATCCCGACGCGTTCAAGGCGAGGACTTTAGCTGCTAGGCCACTGCGCTGGGCCCTTACTCTTCTTTTTTAAGATTTAGTTTTACCCCCAGCTGCACGCAACTGCCTAGGTTGCATTGTACCTAGGCAAGTGTTACACTGCTGGGAGAAAAGCAGCCAACAGCTGGCGGGCATCCTGGGCCTGGTGAATGTCGAATGGTGCTAACTACAACACTGTGCCAGTGTAGATGCCTATTTTATTATTCTTTTTAAAGATATATGGGGGGAAGATGCAGGCCCAGCAGCAAGCAGGGGCCGGGGACTTGCAGACAAGCATGTATAGGCCCTGGGCAGGCAGGCAGGGCCCAAGGCTGGCACGGCACACCCCCAGAGGACCAGGCTTGGGGATCAGCGGGCATGGGGGGCTGTGGGTTGCTCAGTGAAGCAGATCTGGGCATGTGTGGAAGGGAGGACTGCTGACGGGTGAAGAGTGGCTTCTGAGTCACTTCATCAACCTGCACTTGCAGGTAAATAAGGGGGCTGAGACTGGGCGGTTTAGAGGAGGGAGACAGGAAGAACTTTTGGGGGCCAAACTGGTACACTTACCCATGTGGGAGACCTGAGCTGGGCTTTGCTGGCATCAGCCACCATCTGCCATGACTCATGAAAGCTGGGGCTGGGGGTCGGCACCAGCGAGCACCAGTGAGCATCAGGATGGAGGGTGGACCATGTTAGGCTAGACCGTGACACTAACCAGCACATGAGAGAACCGGGTGTGGGAATAGGTTCTGTGGGGGATCCTGGGCTCACCCCTCTGGGACTGCCATGTCAGCTGGTTTGCCTGAGGGCTTGGAGTAGCGATGAGCTGAGTGAGGCATGATCCCAGAACTCATCTGCATTCATGAGCACTGGGGGTGGGAACAGGCTAGGCTGGTCCAGGCTGTAGCAACTGCAGGCACACCCAAGAATTGGGTGTGGGGCAAACTGGGTGTGGGGCCACAACATCCACCAGCTCATACAAATGCCGAGACGGGGCGGGGGCGAGTTGTGCAGTGTAAGAGTCTGGGAGTGGCACATGCGTTGGCTCAGGTCTGGGGGCAGGCCAGGTTGGGCCAGTTCATAACACCCACTTGGAAGACCTGAGAACCAGGATGGGGTGCAGGACAGGCCAGGTTGGGTTGCAGCTTCCACCAGCATGCATGAGACCCGGTGACAGGCAGAGGGGCAGGCAGTAAGGGGGCAGCACAGGTTCCCCTGCTGGGCCATTGCTCCCACTGGTGAGTGTGAGAACTGGAATCGGGGGCAGACCAGGCCGGGCAGGGCTACAACACCTGTTGGTCTACATGCAAGCTGTGCTAAGGGGAGAGCCAGCCTGGGCTAACCGACTACACCCACTGATGCATTGCATGAACCAAAGTACGCACAGGCTGGTTGGACTTTGCTGGGACTGGGGGCAAGCCCTGGCCGGCTACACTGCACAATCACCTGGAAAGTTTAATATCTGGGGCTGGGAGTGGGGGCCTAGCAGGGAAAATGTGGGCTGCAACTCCCACCAGTCAGCATGGGAACCAGGGCTGGGGACAGGCCTGGCTGGACAGGCAGTGGCACCTGATGGCATGAGTATGGGCTGGATAATGAGGTTGGTTGGGCTGAGTGAGGCTTCAACATCCATCAAGAGCCAAATGGGATGTAGGATACACTTGACCAGTCTGCTGTACATTCCAGTATGAGCAGGAACTGGGGCTGAGGGCGGGCCTGGTGGGGGTTATTAGGGGTTGCCCCGACTAGGTTGCAGTTGCCTCTGGTGTATGTGACAGTCGAGTGTGTGGTGGGCAGGATTACGCTGGGCTGTAGCATCCATTGGTTTGCATATGAGATGGGGCTGGGGACAGAACTAACCAGTGCAACCACCAATGTGTGTGTAGGCTGAGCCGGGTGACAAACTCAGCTGGATCCTTCACTGGCTGGCACACAGAGGCGTCAGGTCTGGGGTCACCTCAGGTGAGGTTTCTTTGGGGGATCCTCCCCAACTGGATTACCAGACTCAGAACTCCAACCATGGGACAGATCACAGGATCTGAGGTCTGGCCGTGGAGTGCATGAGTCAGAACTGGGTCTCCAAGGTTGCCGAAGCCTGTGCAGTAGACAGCAAGGTCATGGGGGACACGACAACCAGTTCACTGAGGCCCGCAGAGGATGTCTAGCTCCATGGAGGGCAGAACAGATTGGACAGCTCTCCCGGCCAAGCTTTGACAGCAAGTGTCTAGGCGAACGGAGACTCTAAAGTGGACGATGTCAGCCAATGGACCTTGGATGGATTTCCTCAACCTTGTAACAATGAAATCAGTAGCATCTCAGAGCTATCAAAGCCATTTGAGCAGTGTCCTCAGAACGTGCTCCACTTCAGGACCCTGGGATGACACTGGGTGGCCATCCTCCCTCTCCGAATACTGAAGTGATTGGGTTGCTGGGACCAGCCCTCTCCCCACTTTCCCCCAGATACAGAAAGGAAAATGGAGATCAGAGACAGCTGTCCCATCCACTTCCCCAATTCCTCAACCCTCCCCACCCTCATCAGTGGTCCACATGGGCATGCATCCTTCTCAAGTAGGCAAACATCATCAAAAATAAAACAAATGTATTATTAAAAATAATATTTATTTTTACTTGAAAGATATGGACAAAAAGGAGAGACAGATCATCCATCCACTGGTTCACTTCCCAAGTGACCGCAACAGCCAGAGCTGAGCTGATCCAAAGTCAGGAGCCAGGAGCTTCTTCTGGGTCTCCCACACGAGTACAGGGTCCCAAGGCTTTGGGCCGTCCTCAACTGCTTTCCCAAGCCACATGCAGGGAGCTGGATGGGAAGTAGAGCAGCTGGGATACGAGCAGGTGCCTATATGGGATGCTGATACTTGCTGGCAGAGGATTAGCCCGCTGAGCTAACACACTGGCCCCACAGCTAAGCCTTCTTCCCTTTAGGATCTTTCTAGAACTTCAGCTCAAGTGGCAGAAGACACACAGAAGCACAGGGCTGCTGGCAGACTTGGCCGTTCATGTCCCCTGGAGAGAGCTGCTCTTTCTCGGACCCAGGCCTTCAGACGCCTAAACATGCCCGGAGTCTCCTAAGGCGTCAGTGGCCACTGCCCAGCAGCCCACAGCTGGTTGTCCTGGGTCCCAAGGTGAGACATCACCTGTCAGGATGGGGTCAGCCCTGGTCCTGTCCCTGAAGCAACACCCAAGCCGGCAGAGGTGACTGCTGTGCCTTCCCAGTGGTCTCTGTCTGGAGTGGTGTAGCGCGAGACACTCCCGTGCTCCCAGGTCCTTGGGGGCCTCCACGGGACACGCCCTGCTCTCCCCTCCCTAGCCAGCATCCTCCTCCAGGGTCCTCAAACCCGACAAAAGCCACACAAAGCCGCTACGAGGGAACCCATCAGTATTTATTTGTCATGCGTCCTGCTGACTTGGCTCAGACCTGTCTCACTCCCCTCTCTCACCTTCCCCCTCCCCGGGGACCCACTAGGGGAGGCCAGGCTGGAGCAAGGGGTGCCAAGAGCCGGACGGAGGGCTTGTGTTCACAGGGAAGAGTCCGGCCACTCCAGGTGGACAGAGGCACACCCGCCTGGGGTGTGAGCAGGGACGGGCAGGCCTCAATCCTTCCCGGGGCCACTCCCTGAGGTCAGGTCCAATTGTCCCATGGTGGGGTGGGATTGAGGCGCCCAGCCCTGCCCTGAGATGGGGGTTAAGGCCTGACAGGGCTGGGACCTGCGGGAAGCAGAGCCGAGGCCCCTGCACTCAGCGGGGCCGCTTGCTGTCCAGGACCGCCTTCCAGTCGTCGGCCCACGAGTCGAGCCTGCGGCGCGGTGGCTGCAGCTGCAGGTGCCGGTTGTGGCATGCGGTGAACAGCACGTGTTCCCAGCTGGGGTTAGGCTCAGCTCCTGCCTCGCCAGAGGAGGGAAAGACGCCATGTGAGTGGCGGGTCCACCTCACCCAGCCCCGGGGCCACCCCGTGGCAGTGCTGGCCACTTCCCTGCCCTCCGCCACTGGAAACACCCAGGGGCAACTGACCTCCCCCAAGTTCCCTGGGAGGAGAGTCCGCCCCGCAAGTCCGAGGTCAGGGGCAGGTGCCCCTGTGGAAGCCTCCCTCTGGGCACAGCCCTTGACTGTCCCAGGACAGTGCCAAAAGGCACTGGGGGAAGCACATTCCCTCCCACAGACACCCCAATGAGCCTGCCATGCCACGATGCTTCCAGCGGACCAGCTGGGGGGCAGCTTCTCCCAGCTCCCAGGGTGCCCAGCTGTCCCTAGAGGGAGACACCAAGATGAATACTGACAGGGTGTGTGTGTGTGTGTGTGTGTGTGTAAGGTTCCAGGCCTGCCCCACCCCCGCCCTACCCCTCCTCTTCCTCACCTGTGATGTCCGGCCGGTCGTCGATAAGGAGGTCGGCGGACACCACCGTCTTGTCTCTGGTCAAGACAATATGCTCCAGGAAGTCGGGGCCCAAGTGCTTCTCCACCCAGGCGTACTGCAAGTGGGTGAGGAGGAGTGACACCACGGCCTTTGCATGGCCCGTGGGGTGCCTGGGTGAGAGGGCAGGGCCAGTCCCCAGCGGCTAAGGGGGAGCCTTGGAGGCCAGGCTGGGCGGAAGGGATGCAAGCCACACCGTCCCAGGGATAGGTGAAGGGGTCTGGTGTTGCTGGGGTGGGAGGGGAGGGGAGGGCGGAGCCTGCACGGAGACAGGAGCTCTGGCCTGGGCAGCTTTGGAGGGGCGTCGGGGGAACCAGACCAGGTACTCGGTCTAGACCAGGTTGGTCATGCTGGGACAGAAAGGCCCGGGTGGGGTTGAGGGGCTGGACTGCGTGGGAAAAGGAGCTGGGATGCAGAGGCCCCCCCACACCTTGCCCTTTACCTTCTCATAGGGACAGTATTTGTACATCCTGATGGGGCTCGTACAGATGAACACGTCGGTGCTGTGGCAAGAAAAGAGAGCTTGAACCCTACAGCCCCCCAAGTCTGAGTTCTCTCCCTTCTGCGGCATGCAGAGGGAGACTCTTCCCCCGCACAGAGCCGAGAACCCACTTTTCTGCCCGGGAGGGTAGGGGGAGCCACCCAGGGCCCCTGCACCCCATAAACGGGGCCTCTGTGCCCTTCTGGAATCCTCACGTCTGCGAGGCTGCCCCAGGGGAGTCTGGGCTCCCGGCCCCCCGCTGCACCTGCCCCTTGCTGTCAGGGGTTCCCCTGGGGAGAGAGCTGCTCTATCCTGCCGCACCACAGCAGGAGAAAGGCCGGTACTCTCCTCCCGCAAGGCCTGGCCCAGGTTCCCGACTTCCGGTGCTTCCCCATCATGACAGCGTGCGTACAATCCCACCCCTCTCCCCTCAGCTCGCCTCCAGCCTTGGAGCCCCCTGCCCCACAAACCCGGCTCTTTCAAACATCCCAGGGGATGACTTCCGGCTGGAGGCGTGCGGAATCCTCTGGCAAACGCAGACTACGGAAGAAGCCATGCTGTCCCCGTGCTGGCCCACCGCGCCCCTTGTCATCCTCAGTGCTGGCGCTAAGCCCCTGCGGGGGCCCTCCTCTGCTGTCCCCACTGGGGCAGGTGGCCCCAGCAAGGCTCCTCCATGGCCAATTCAAAGGCCACACCGTTCAAGTTTGCTGTTTTCCCCTCCGCAGACCTGCCGTACCCCTGCTCCACCATCCGCACCCCCGCCCCGCAAATGGATACGCTCCTTCCCTAGGCAAGCCGTGCTCCGCCCCAAGTCCTCCTACGTGACCAGCGCCCACCTGCCGTGTCCCTTCAGCTTCCCCGTGGAGAAGGCCGCTCCTCTCTGTGACTGAGTGGTGGGGTTGCCGCAGCAGTCTGGCCATAGATGCCATGGCCCACCGGCCTACTTTCGCGACAATTTGCCCCCATCGCTCTGTGCCATTTCCAAGCTGGGTTCTCTGTTTAGCTCAGGAAATGCTTCCTGAAATATTCCCCATAGCACATTACTGCAGCAAGGAATGGCCCAAGTGCTTGGGCCCCTACGTCCACGGGGGAGACCTGGAGGACACCCCGAGGAAGCTCCAGGCTCCTGGCTCCTGCCTCTGACTTGGCCTAGCCCTGGTCATTGCAGCCATTTGGGAAGTGAATCAGTGGGTGGAACTCTGTCTTACAAGGAAATAAACTTTTATAGGGCCCAGTGCAATAGCCTAGCGGCTAAAGTCTTTGTCTTGAACGCACCCGGATCCCATATGGGCAATGGCTCTAATCCTGGCACCTCCACTTCCCATCCAGCTCCCTGCCTGTGGCCTGGGAAAGCAGTCGAGGACGGCCCAAAACCTTGGGACCCTGCACTGAGTGGGAAACCCGGAAGAAGCTCCTGGCTTCAGGTCAGCTTGACTCTGGTTGTTGTGGCTATTTGGGGGCGGGGGTGAACCAGTGGAGGGAAGATCTTTCTGTCTTACTTTCTCTCTGTAAATCTACCTGTCACATAAAAAATATTTTTAAAAAATTTTAAAAATGTGTAGGATGTCTATATGACAACATGTTCAAAACGTCTGTGGGAGCATGGCTATGCAGGGTGGTCAAGACCCCTGCCCCACCACAGTAATGGCTGTGTACTAAACTTTGGACAGGCGGAACAAGGCCAGCTAAGGGCTATTTAAGGTGTTACGAAGTGGTTGCTAAGGACTTATACACAGCAGGCCACTGTACCCACATATAAACAAGACAGCTAGGACAAACAAGACAGCTAGGACAAACGATGGAGCACAGAGGGAGCCAGGGCTAGGGCTAGGAACCCGCCAGGTGAGGGTGCTGGGAGGATTTCCTGGGCTGTTGCCAGTGCACACGGGGTACAGAGATGGGAGTGGGTCAGGCTGCAGAACTCATCAGTAAGCACAATGGCTGGATCACCAGTGCAACTGCGGCCACACATGAGAGCCAGGTCTGGGGACAGGCGTGGTGAGAATTCATGGGAACTACAGCCCCCCGCCCCGCTCCCCAATCCCAACTAGGCAGCTCCAACTGATAGTACATGTGATCAATAGCTGAGGCCAGGAGAGGGCAAGATCAGGCCACAGCACCCACCAGAGTGTGTGGGAGCCACACCTGCAACACAGTCTAGTTGGGATCCAAAGGGTCTCCCTGACTGGGCTGATACACTTGCCAGAGTCTTTGTGAAAGCCAGGTCTGGGGGCGGGCTGGGCCACTTCATAACACCCGCTGATGGGCACCATGGCCAGGTCTGGGGGCGGGCTGGACCATTTCATAACACCCGCTGACGGGCACCATGGCCAGGTCTGGGGGCGGGCTGGGCCACTTCATAACACCCGCTGACGGGCACAATGGCCAGGTCTGGGGGCGGGCTGGCCAGGTCTGGGGGCGGGCTGGACCATTTCATAACACCCGCTGACGGGCACCATGGCCAGGTCTTGGGGCGGGCCTGGTAAGAGTTCTAAAAGATCAGTTTGACAAAGCCAAGGTGCTCCCTGGTGGGAGCAAGGATTGTGTACAGGGCAGGCCAGATTGGGCTGCTGCACCTACGAGTGCGCACGAGAACTGGGTCTGGGGAATCATCTAGTGAGGATTCAAGGGGTCTCTCTGACTAGGCCATTGTACATGTTGGTACTCATGAGAGCCAGGGTAGACTGGGTCAGACCACTGCACCTGCCAATACTTGTGAGATCCGGGGCTGGGGCCAGCCCAGTAGGGGTTCTGGAGTGGCCCCTCACCAGGCTGACACGCCACAGCTACACAGGGGAGAGGGGGCAGGTGGCGATCCAGACCAAGCTGTAGCACCTGCTGTGGATTAAGGGAGCCGAGCTGGGGGTGGGCTGGGGAGGGTGACCTGGTTGGGAACGAGCCCCCCTGAATGGCATGAGTGCCTTAGACCAACAGGATCCCCGACCTCAGGGAACAAACCACGGGTGTGTGGTCTGGCCATGGAGCACGTGTTGGGGGACTGGGTCACCCCCATTGCTGACTCCAGAGACAGGATGAAGAGCAACCCCAGATCAGATCCACAGGAAAGACAACACCACCGTCATCTATAACCCCACAGAAGAGCTCAAGTGCCTCTACAAAGGGATGCAGATGGCACAGCAGTTCAGCCCCAATTCCATGGAAAGCACCTAGGCCTGTGGACACCCTGAGGTCCATACGGACAACCAACAGGCCTCAGAACTTACACAGAGAGAGCAGGAAGAGCCTCGGGGAGGACAGAGGGAAGAGGTCATCCCATACACAGGCGCCACTGCACAACCCTAGGACATCTTCCTCCCACTGAGGTCCCCAGAGGCCGCAACAAGAGACCACATCTGTCCCCTGGCACTCGTGAGGTCTGACAACCCGGAGAGGCACACCTCCCCGCTCTCTCCAACATTTCTCTCTCCCTCCTCCACCCCTACCAGGGGCCCCCAGCGGTCCACAATCCCCATCCCCTCACCTCTGTAACGAACATTTAGAAAGGTTTCCCCCCTCCCCCCCAAAAAGATTTATTTTGGTGGGGTCAGTGTGGTGGTATATCAGGTTAACCTCCCCCCCCCACCTGCCAGTGCCAGCAGCCCATCTGGGCACCAGTTCATGTCCCGGCTGCTCCACTTCCCATCCAGCTCCCTGCTTATGGCCTAGGAAAGCAGTGGAGGACGGCCCAAAGTCTTCAGCCCCTGTGCCCATGTGGGAGACTCCTGGAGGAAGCTCCTGGCTCCTGGCTTCAAATCGGTCCAGCTCTGGCCATTGAAACCACTTGGGGAACAGCCAATGGATGAAATAGATATATTTTTTTTTCTCTTTCTGTGTAACTCTGCCTTTCAAATAAAAAAAGAAAGAAAGAAAAATTTGTATGTAAAGACTCCTACTTTTGGCGGGACAAGGTGACGCAGCCAGGGTCCATCCTAGGAGGGGAGGGGGACAGCGGCAGGTGAGATCTGCTCCCAGCAGTCTCCTCCCAGGTGAGGGCTAGCCCCACCTGTCACCCCTGCCACAGCAGAGGTGGGTCATTTGATCGCCAGGGCTGGCTTCAAAGGCAGGTACACTTTTTCAACTGTGCTTATCCCAGACCTGCCATCAGGCCAAGCACGGCAGCAGGCACTTCATCACGCCCCCTCCTGGTCCTCCCTGGCGAGCCTCTGGCTCCGGATCTGCCACTGATGGCATCCCCGGTCTGGCTTTTATTGGCCAATTGGCACCAAAACACAGGCAAAGTACCCTGGGTATGGCCAACACTGGGTCTTCCTTAAGCTGGGAGTTTCACCCCACCCTCATGGGACCAGAGGCAAAGTCTAGAATAATAGGGCTAGAATATGAGCTGCCCCATTCTCATGGCAGGAGCAGTTGAAAGCTCTGTAAAGTTCTACACCAAAGAAACCTGCCCGGCCTGGGACAGGCTGCAGCCAGGAACCTGGAGCTCCATCTGGGTCTCCCATGGGGGTACAGGGGCCTAAGCACTTGGGCCATCCTCTGCTGCTTTCTCGGGTGCACTAGCAGAGAGCTGGATCAGAAGTGGGGCAGCTGGGACTTGAACCGGGGCTGAGGTGAGAAGCCATCACGGTGGTGGCTTAGCTCTCTGCGCCACAACTCCAGCCTCTTGAGATGCACCTTCCAGATCTTATGGAGTCGTAACGGCAACAGATAACTGAAGAAGGACAACTGAGTGGATATCATTTGCAGGAGCAGAATTGATTGGATACACCAAAAAAAGAGAGATACTTTCAGGCAAGGGTGTGGCAACAAGTGATGAGTTCAACAGACAAGCTTATAGGAACTCCCATAGTCTCATGTCAACTCCTACTTGTTGTTGAAATCTAAGTTCCTCAAGCCCTTCTCCCCGATGCCTACATGACCACCTGTCTGATGCTGTGAATAAACTTCGGCCGTTGACCATCAGTCAGTAGTCCACACAGATTCTTAGCAGCTCTGTGCACCAAGTCCATCAAGCAAGACGGCAAACAGATCACACTTACTGACTGCCTGCCGAGTGCAGCCAGATGCCACGCTGAGGCCTTCCACACGAGCTGCATTTTACAAAAATGGTCTGAGTACGTCAGCCCCTGCACCCTCCGTGGGAGACCTGGCTGCAGAGCCTAGGCCAGCTCCGGTTCTTGCGGCCACTGCAGAGTAGGCCAGCAGATGGAAGATGCCGGCAAGTCTCTCCCTCTGTTTCCAGGTGTCTCAAATTTTAAAAGAAAGAACAGCACAATGGGCTGTGGCTTCACTCTCAGCAGGTGTCATGGCATGGTTAGTAAAGGTACTTGGGATGCCTCCCTCCCACACTGGCAGTTAGCTGGACTCCAGGGTGCTCTGCTTCTCAACCAGCTCCCTGCTAATGCATCTGGGAAGCTGCAAATAAAGGCTCAGCTACCTGAGTGTTGCTAGGGAGACCAGATGGGGCTCCTGGCTCCTAGCCCCCGGTCCCTGGCCCCTGGTCCCTGGCTCCTAGCCCCCAGTCCCTGGCTTCTGTTCCCTGGCTCCTGGCCCCTGTTCCCTGGTTTCTGGTTCCTGAATCCTGATTCCTGGCTCCTGGCCTTTGTTCCTGGTCCCTGGCCCCTGGTCCCTGGCTCCTAGCCCCTGTTCCCTGGGCTCCTGACCCCTGTTCCCTGGCCCCCGGTCCCTGGCCCCTGGTCCCTGGCTCCTAGCCCCCAGTCCCTGGCTTCTGTTCCCTGGCTCCTGGCCCCTGTTCCCTGGTTTCTGGTTCCTGAATCCTGATTCCTGGCTCCTGGCCTTTGTTCCTGGTCCCTGGCCCCTGGTCCCTGGCTCCTAGCCCCTGTTCCCTGGCTCCTGGCCCTGGCTCCTGATTCCTGGTTCCTGGTCCTTGTTCCTGGTCCCTGGCCCCTGGTCCCTGGGCTCCTGACCCCTGGTCCCTGACTCCTGACTCCTGGCCCCTGGTTCCCGGCCCCTGGCCCCTGGCTCCCGGCCCCTGGCTCCCGGCCCCTGGCTCCTGGCCCCTGGTCCCTGGCTCCTGGCCCCTGGTCCCTGGCTCCTGGCCCCTGGCTCCTGGCCCCTGGTCCCTGGCTTCTGGCTCCTGGCCCCTGGCTCCTGGCCCCTGGCTCCTAGCCCCTGGCTCCCGGCCCCTGGCTCCTAGCCCCTGGCTCCCGGCCCCTGGCCCCTGGTTCCCGGCCCCTGGCTCCCGGCCCCTGGCCCCTGGTTCCCGGCCCCTGGCCCCTGGCTCCCGGCCCCTGGCCCCTGGCTCCGAGCCCCTGGTCCCTGGTTCCCGGCCCCTGGCCCCTGGCTCCCGGCCCCTGGCTCCTGGCCCCTGGTCCCTGGCTCCTGGCCCCTGGTCCCTGGCTTCTGGCTCTTGGTTCCTAGCTGTTGTGACCATTTGGAGAATGAACAAGCAGACGAATGATGATACCCTCTTCTTCTCTGTCACTTTTCCTTTCCAACAAATCTTTTTGTCAAAAAAAAAAAAAAGATAGTACAAAGAGCTGACACAGATTTGCAGGAATCAGAATCCTCCTACACTACTTCTGGGGATACTAAAAGTGGCAGAGTCGTCCAAGAAAGCGAAGTTTGCTAACTCCTCAAGTTGTCCAACACAGAATCACTCCATGACCCAGCAGCTCCGCAGCCACAGAATAGCACTCCTCAGAGCAGCCACAAGGTGGAGACACTGCCCGCCGCCACCAGCAGCTGAAAGCCGGACCCCCCAAGGGAATGTCACAGTCGGAATGCTACATAACACACAGACAGGCATACACACACACACACACACACACACACACACACACACACACACACACGGGCCAAACATCTGGCCAGCCTGCTTGGCTCAGCCAGGTCTGTAGCCAAGTAGAGCACTGGGGTTGGCAAGCAGGACTTTGGTCTTGGGAAGTTCCAAGGACAGGTGGATGGGGACCAGGCCAGGACAAAGGCAGAGAGGTGAGGGGAGGTGGTGGGGGAGAGGGAGCGAGGGGGCACGACAAACATACTTTCGCAGGTTGACCATCTGTTTCACAGCTTCCACAGCCCCCGGCAGAGGCTCAAGGTCAAAGAAGAAGTCCTTGGATTCCCAGATGCTGATGGCCTGCTCCTGGAAGCAGAGAGAAGCATGTGACCCTCCAGGGGTACCTGGGTCTGGGTGTGCAGCTGGGGAAGGGGGTAGGGAATGAGGGTTAGGAGGGAGGGAGGGCTGGAGGGAGGGAAAGCTGGAGGGAGGAAGGGAGGGAGGGAGGGAGGGAGGAAGGGCTTCCACCCCCAACTCCTGACCTTGCCCTGTGGAGATACACATCCCAGGACACACAGAGCTTTCCAGTCCCCCCTGAGAAGTAGAATTTAAACACATGCTTCCGGGGATGCAAAACCATCTGAAAACCCCCATTGTCCCTTTGCAAGTTTTTCCATAACACTCAACTTCTGTGAGCTTTTTTTTTGGGACGGTGCCTCATATATACAAGTGTCTATATTTTTTTTGCACCAAAAAAAAAAAAAAAAAGTAAATTTCTTTCCCAGAAACCCTTGGAAGTACCCTCATACGTTGGGAGGTAGAAGGAGTGCACCGAGCTTGTGTGGGGTCCCCTTCCCCAGGAGCGAGTTGTGGTGATGGGTGCTGTCTATGGGGGTCCAGCAGACACTTTCTGTCCCTGAGGGGTGAGGTGGGCATCTTAGCTCTCCAGGGTGAGCTCCCAGGCCTGTGTCACCAGGCTGGGGTTCAGGGCAGCTAGGCAGACAGCCTGAAGGGCTCCCAGCCCCTCTCCCTAATCAGTCAGACCAGCTCTGCCTGGGTCTATGTGTTAGGGACGCCAACAAGGGCTCAGCCAACGGGACCTGGTGCAATGTCTCATTTGGTCAGTCCTCACCCTTCAGGCACCAGGATCCCATCTGGGTGCCAGTTTGTGTCCCGGCTGCTCCACTTCCCATCCAGCTCCCTGCTTGTGGCCTGGGAAAGCAGCAATGCTTGGGCCCCTGGGAGACCTGGAGGAAGCTTCTGGCTCCAGGTTTCAACTCAGGCAGCCTTAATGTTCTCAGCCATTTGGGGAGTAACCAGTGGATAGAAGAGCATTTGCTGGCTTTCTCTCTCTCTCTCTCCGCAAAACTGCCTTTCTGATAATAATAATAAACTTTAAAAACTCTAAGGGCTGGCAGAATAGTATATAAAGTTAAGCCCCCACCTGCAGTGCTAGTCATATAGGCACTGGTTCGTGTCCCGGCTGCTCCATTTCTGACCAGCTCTAAGATTACAACCTGGGAAAACAGTGGAGGATGGCCCAAGTGCTGGGGCCCCGGACTTACACAGGAGGCCCAGAAGTTTCTGTCCCTGCTCTAGCCCTACCCCAGGCCTTGCAGCCATTTGGGGCGTGACCAGTGGATGGTAGACCCTGTCTGTCTGTAATAGACTTTCAAATAAAAAATAAATTGTGTAAAATGTCAGTTGGAAGGATCTGTGTTCTCAACCTCTATCCTACCTACTTCCCTGAACACCGTGAAGATGGAGGCAACACAGAGAATGTTCCAGAACTATGAACGCCAGCATTTGTGAGCTGGACTGCTCTCAGTGGCTCTGATGCTGGTCACGCTGGCCAAGGGCACCCCCTTCAGACACATGACACAGCAGTAGCCTGCATCTTCCCCTCCTCACTGGGAAAGCAGGAGTTAGTTTCTCAGCCCTGGGGTCTGTGTGACCACCCCAGACCCCTGAGCAGGAAGTGGGGGGTGGGGTGGGCAGGGCTGGACCCCTGGTCCCTGACCTTCACACAGCACAGGAAGCCATAGAATTTCCAGTGTGTGAAGTGTTTAAGTGGGGACCAGCTGGGGGAAGAGGCAGAGAGAGAGAGAGAGAGCCAAGTGCCGCCATCCACTGGTTCACACCCCCAACAGCTCGCAATCCCAGGCCTGGACCAGGAGCTCACTGCAGGTCTCTGCAGCGTTGCAGCGGCCAGCACCTGCTACCTACCTCCCAGGGTGCACACCAGCAGGAAGCTGGAATGCAGGCGGACCTGGTCACCACCCTTCTGGGGTGCCTGCTACTAACAAGGGGAGCTGATGTGCTTCCCAGAGCCCTCTGAGGTCACGGGACACACACTTGGTAGAAAGCCGGACGGGGAGAGTAGGCTGTTTGTTTTGTTTTGGGGGAGTAGAGAGGATGGGTGCAAACTTGGGTTTAGGTCCCGACGGCGCCCCTACTGGCGCACGTGGGGAACACGTTCCCCTATCTGCAAAGCGCAGCCCAGCTTGCAGCGCACACACTCACGGAGGGGAGAACCTGGGGGTGACAAGCCTTGCTGGTAACATCCTCCTGGTCCTCCCCAAACCCCTGCGCGTGCGTGGGGTCAGCCCCTGCCAGGCCGCGCCCACCCTTCAAATCCCTCCCTGGCTATTTCTCCTCTGTCCATCACGGGTTGGGGAATGGGGAGGAGAGGAGCTGCGGCGAGAAGGGGGTCAGGGCTCCCCACCCCAGTGCGCCCACCATAGTGACCCCTCCACGTCACTATGTCCTCTCCAGAAAGTGCCCCAACTCTCTTGAGCCTCTCAAATGGCACTCAAGAGCTACGCTTTTATAGAACAGGGCAATCAATCACCAATCAATCAAATTGAGGAAAAAAAAAAAAAACAAACACCAACAACATTCCAGGGAAAGGAAAAAAAAGGGGGGGGGGATACGAATGCCCATAAGGGTGAGCAATGAGGACTGAAATACACTGAGTTGTTTATTATTGTTGAAAAAACAAAAGCGGTCAAGGAGGGAGGTGGGGACGCAGAGCTTTGCCAGGAGCCTCTATGGCAAGACAGTAGCAATTCCCGGGCCTCCCGCCGCCCCCCACCACGTTCCCGCCCCGCCAGGACCCCCATCCGACCAGGGACCCGCCCAAGGTCACTCGGGCGGCCGGGCCTGGGGTGCTCACGCTCAGCCCGGGCCGCAGGCGGCCGTACTGCTCCGACACCCAGAAGCCGCGCCGGTCCTCCAGCGCGATGAAAGGCAGATCGGGGAAGCGCGCGCGATACTTGCGCAGGAAACCGCCCTCGAAGTCGGCCAGGACGCCGTCCATGTCCAGCAGCACCCGCAGAGCGCGGCCGCCCGATGCCCGGCGCCGCCCCACGGCCACCGGCGAGCCGCGGGGCCGCCGCGCGCACCAGCCGCCCAGCCGGATCATGGTCCGGCCGCCGGGGGCTCCAGGACCCGGGCTGCGCCGGCCACCCTGCGCCAGCCAGGGGTCATGACCCTCTCGGAGGAGGAAGAGGGGCCTGCGGCCTTGAAGGGAAGATGGGATGGGGGCGCGGGGCGCACGGGGCGCGCAGCCTCCAGCTCCGGAGCGAGGCCGCGGCGCGCACCCCGCCGCGCTCCAAGGGACAAGCGCGCGCTTGCGGCGACGGAGGCGCGCCCTGGGGCGTGGCTTTCCACCTGCGCCCCTCGCTAGAAAATCGTCTTTCCCGGACCTCGGGGCGAGGGCCTGACCCTCCCGGGAGCGTGGAGACCAGAGCGCGAGCCTCTCCGGTTCCGCAGGTGATGCTGGATGGAAAAGAGCTGGCAGGAACCACGGAGCTCCGTGGAGCTCTCAGCCAGAGGGGCTGGGGGCGTGGAAGGGATGTGGGTGGGGAGGGGGGACGACAAGAACGCATTTTGGGGGTGGCTTCTTTGGCAAATTCTGAGTGCTCCATGCTTATAGGGGTGGTCCCGTGGGGAGGCAGGGGGAGTTCTGAAAGACTAGGAAAGGAGGAAGGAGAAAGTGGTCCACAGGCAGACTCATGACCCCCGTGGCCAGCTCAGTTAGGGCCTCAGGCACAAACCGTGACATCTTCTAGACGCCCTTTAGACATCTTCTGGTGACTGCCTCTAGATGCAGAGGCTGGAGGCCAGCTCCGATGCACCCGTCCCTGCCTCCGTTGGCCGCCCCTTGCCTGGGCATCCCATCCCCGCAGAGGACACCTGCCACCATGCTTCTACCAAAGCCGGAGGTGTGGCACAGCAGGAGTAATGTGCCATGGCTCCCGGGCTTACCTCTTTACTCTGCTTTGCTTGCACATGTGGGGTTGGGGAAAGTTCCCAGCTGCACCTCGACCCCGCCATGAGAGCTGCAGTGTCAGTCCGTGTCACCCCCACATCCAGCTCCCAGTGAGAGTGCATTTCCAGGTAACCTTTACTAGTGAAAGCACAGACCCTTTTGTTACTGATCCGAAGCCAGGAGCCAGGAGCTTCTTCCGGGTCTCCCATGCAGGTACAGGGTCCCAAGGCTTTGGGCCATCCTTGACTGTTTTCCCAGGCCACAAGCAGGGAGCTGGATGGGAAGTGGAGCTGCCAGGATTAGAACTGACGCCCATATGGGATTCTGGCGCGTTCAAGGCGAGGACTTTAACTGTTATGCTATTGCCCCGGGCCCAGCTGTCCCAGGAATTTTGAATCCTTCAATGCTGAGACCCACATCCTTTGCATTGTAGGTCTGGGGCTGTTTTTCTAGAACAAGCTAGAGGGATTGGAAATGAGGTGAAGAGCTGGGAGCCAGCAGCCAGAAGGGTGGGCTGTGTGGCCGCTGCCCCCGAAGCTACCTTTGAGGTTTAATAGCAAATCACTTACGTTTAAATCATGCCACAGGGACCAACATGGTGGCATAGCAACTTAGTCCTCCACCAGCAGCACCGGCACCCTATTGGGGCACTGATTTGTGTCCCAGTTGCTCCACTTCCAATCCAGTTTCCTGCTTATTGGCTGGAAAAGCAGTAGAAGATGGCCCAAGTTCTTGGGACCTTGCACCCATGTGGGCAATCCTGGAGGAAGCTCCTGGCTCCTGGCTTCAGATTGGCTCAGTTCTGGCTAATGCAGCCATTTGGGGAGCTAATTAGTGGGTAGAAGATCTCTCTCTCTCTCTCTCTCTCTTCTTGTGTAAATCTGCCTTTTCAATAAAAACAAAGACATCTCTAAGATTTATTTTTTGTGGGAAAGTTAAATTTACAGAGAGAAGCAGAGACAGAAAGAAGGATCTTCCATGTGGTGGTTCACTCCCCAAGTGGCTGCAATGGACGAAACTGAGCTGATCTGAAGCCAGGAGCTGGGAGCCTCCTCCAGGTCTCCCACGCATGTGCAGGGTCCCGGGGCTTTGGGCTGTCCTTGACTGCTTTCCCAGGCCACAAGCAGGGAGCTGGACGGGGAGCCAGGCCATCAGGATTAAAACAGGTGCCAATATGGGATCTTCACGTGTGCAAGGCAAGGACTTTAGCCGCTAGGCCACCGCACTGGGCCCTTAAAAATCATGCCATGTGGCTGTTGGGCGGTGCACCAAGCCAGGCTGGCCTCAAAGTATCTCTGTCTCCCCAACAAAACCCCATCCGCCACTGCTCATCAGCCCCTTCTCCCGTTGTTCACTGCTTGTATCCACCACGGATGAATTTCATCCATTCTAGAACAAGTGGGCTCCTATGCTGTGGATTGGGCGCGGAGGGAGGGTAAGTATTCAGGAGGCCGGTGGTGATGCAAAAGATGAAAAAACATGGATTTTCTAAAACCTGGCACCAAAACAGGCATGTCTTGCTCCTTGGCCAGCAGCCTCGCGCTGGCATGTCCTTCCTCTCTGAGAGCCGCCCCTGCTGCGCTGGAGACACTCAATTCTCTGCTTGATGAATTCTCTTGCATGGAGACGCTTTAGTTTCCTTGGATCTTCCCCCGTAACTGATGAGTGCATCAGCTACAAAAGGTCACACACATGGTGATTCCCCTGCCTTCTTGCATAAATCCCCAAAACGGGGAGAGTTGTGGAGAGCCCTGGGTCAGGTGTGGGGTTAGCGTGATCAGCCCTTACTAGCCTGTTGTGTCCCCAAAGGGCGTGTTGCACAGCCACAGACCACATGCCGGAGTCCTGTATCCCGCACATGGATACTGGATGCTGCCACAGATCTTTGTAACTGTCGCTCCCCAGGTGGCTGCAATGGCCAGGGCTGAGGCAGGCCAAAGCCAGGAGCCAGGAGCTTCCTCTGGGTCCCACACATGGACCATCCTCCATGGCTTTCCCAGGCGCATGAGAAGGGAACTGAATGGGAAGTGGAGCAGCCGGGCCTTGAACTGGCGCCTCTATGGCAGCATCCTGTTACACGGGTGCGGGGAAGGAAAGAGCATGTCGGGCAATTCTTGATGTATTAAGGAGTCTCTATTAGCCAAGCCTGGCTCCAGCAGCAATAGAAATTACTAAGAGATGTGCAGCCAACAACCTGGACACGATTACAGTTCTGCAAACACGCACCGTTCTCTGGCTTCTCTGTCTGCATTCCGGTACTGCGAGGCCTCACCTCTCCTGGAATTCTTGAAAATACACAAATTAGGGCCTGCTCGAGAGCCTAGTGGCTAAATCCTGACCTTGCGTGCTCCAGGATCCCATAAGGGCGCCAGTTCATATCCTGGCTCCTCCACTTTCCATCCAGCTCCCTGCTTGTGGCCTCAGAGACAGCAGCAGAGCACGGCCCAAAACCTTGGGACCCTGCACCTGCTTGGGAGGCCTGGAAGCAGCTCCAGGCTCCTGGCTTTGGATTGGCACAGCTCCAGCCATTGTGGCCACTTGGGGAGTGAACCAGTAAGCGGGTGATATCTCTCGCTCTCTCCCTCCTTGTCTCTTTGTAACATCTTTCTTTCCAATAAAAATAAATAAATCTTAAAAAAAAAATCTTAGCATTTGTAGCTTCACTGACTTGCCTCAGCAGTGCACAGGGGGTAAGGAATACAGACATACAGGGGCTCCCTGTGCTCAGAGTCTTTCTGTGAGAAGCCAGAGAGCAAGCAGGTACTGGGGAGACCAAGAGTCGGAGTGCCAGAGCAACAGAAGCACACGACCAAGAGAGAGAGCCTCTCTCCATCATGGGCCTTTGTGGGGGCCTGGAGGGGAGGGGCTACGCAGCAACACAGTACCGCCCCTTCTCAGGTTCCAGGTGATGACAGGTAAGCATCATAGGTGGGCAGAAAGGACCACATGGGTGGGGGATGTGTGGCTTCCAAACTTGTGAGCCCGAACTAGCTACCTGAGACCATAACAACGCCATGGCACTGGCCTCTGTCTTCATTTTGATGTCTACATTTTTGGTTGTTTGAGAAGCAGAGAGAGATTGTCCCAGGCCTGGGTGGGGGTCCAGTGCCCCAGGTCGACCTCAGGAATCCAGTTCCTTGAGCCATCACCGCTGGTGTTAGTCGCTGGGCCAAAGGGCTGTCCCCTCACCTTTGTGGCACGTAGGTTCCGTGAGGTCAACAACTTTCTGGTTTGTCGGCTGCTAACACCCCTAATGCTAAGAACAGGGCCCTCCACGGCACGTGGTCGCCAAGCTCACTCCCACAGTGTGTGAGTCCCTGCATGACAACAGGACAGACACCTCCACGACAGGCGACGACTGAGACTTCAGCAGTCTCTGTTGCTTTCAGGACGGGGAACGCCAACCACGGTCTGTGTACACCTATGGCTGCCGAGTGCCACGGTCCAGGTACACTGATGGCTGCTGTCCGCGTGGTTCATGTATGCAATGGCTGCCGTTCGCCAGCGGCTGCCATGTGCAGTGGTCCGCCTACGCAGATGGTTGCTGTCTGCCAAGGTCCGGGTACACTGATGCGTGTGGCACTGTGTGTGAGGCACTTTGAACAAAAGGATTACAAACCATTACAAACAAGCAAACAAACCAACCAACCCTGGGGCTGACGTGGTGGCACAACAGGTTAAGTCACAGCTTACAATGCCAGCATACGAATCAGAGCACTGGCTCGAGTCCCGCTGCCCCACCACTTCTCCAGCTCCCTGCTAACGCACGGAGGAAAGCAGATGGCTCAAGTGCTTGGGCCCCTGCACCCGCGTGGGAGACACGGTTTTGAACTGCTCCACTTCTGGCCACAGCAGTCATGTGGGAGAATGAGCCAGATAAGAAGATTAAACATGTTTCTGTTTCTCTCTTTATGTAACTTTGCCCCTCCAATAAGTCAACCTTTTTTTTTATTATTGATTTGAAAGATAGAGTTACTGTGTGTGTGTGTGTGTGTGTGTGTATAAGAGAGATTTGCCATCCACAGACTTACTCCCCAAATGGCTGCAATGGCAGGGCAGGGACACGCTGCAAAAAGGGGCCGGGAGATTTTCCCAGGTCTCTCACGTGGGTGGAGGGCCCCAAGCAGCCAGATCAACCTCTGCTTCTGTTT